AGGAAGGAAGGAAGGAAGGAAGGAAGGAAGGAAGGGGAGGAGGGAGGGAGGAAAGGAAGGAAGGGAAGGAAGGAAGGGGAGGAGGGAGGGAGGGAGGAGAGGGAGGAAAGAGGGAAGGAAGGAAAGGAAGGAAGGAAGGATCCATCCCATCAGGAATGCAGGGCATAGAAATGTTGCAGCTCAGAGTGCGGTCGTGTAAAATACAGGCAGTCCTCAACTTATGACCAGAATTGAGCCCAGACTTCCTGTTGCCAGGGGGAGACATTGGTTAAGTGAATTCTGCCCCATTTCACGACCTTTCTCCCCACGGTTGTTGCGTGAATCACGGCAATGAAGTCAGTCACCCGGTCGTTAAGTGGAATCCGGCTTCCCCCATTGACTTGGCTTGTCAGAAGGTCACAAAAGGGGATCACGTGACCCCCCCTCCCCCTCGGGGACCCATTGCGACCGTCATAAATGTAAATCGGGTGACCAGGAGGGGGATGCTGCAGCGACTCTAAGTCACTTTTTTCCAGTGCTGTTGTAAATTCGGTCACTAAGTGAACCGTTGTAAGTTGAGGACCGCCTGTGTTCACGGTGTTGGGAACCTGGCTTCTGCTGAGCCCCTCTCCCCGTGGGCTTTCCCAGCAGGAGGAAGGGGGGGTCCCTGGGTGGGACAGGGGGGGCCGCCTGAACCCTCCTCCGCCTTCTCCCTCCCGCAGATACGGACGTGGTCGCAAAGCAGGCGAAGGAGGAGACGGTGGTAGAAAACGCCACCCCGGATTACGCGGCTGGGCTGGGCTCAACCCAGGTACGCTTTTCATCTGAAGACTTTTTTTGGGTTTTGTTTTGTTTTTTATGTCGGAACGTCCCTTTAAGTTACGCCCCAAATAACGGAGTTAAATGTGTAACTTCAGACAGAAAAGTTTATAGGAGAATTTGGGTCCTTGGCTGGCCGGGTGCCTCTCTCCGAAGGGCCGGGGACCTCCCTGGAACCCACTTTCCTGGCCTGTTTGGGGAGGGAGGCTCGACTCCCACGACACAAAGTCCTCTTGGGCTATTTTCAGCACTTGAGGCCCTTTGACGTATTCGGCTCTTTCCTTTTTTTTTTTAGGTTTTCACTGTTTTTAAATCTTAGCTTTCGTCGGATGGGATTCTTTGTATTGTTTCAAATGACTTTTAAATTTTAATAGTTTTGATGAGGACCGGTGTCGTCGCTATGACTTTTTGCCGTGGTCCAGCCACTTGAACAGGGGGATGAACGAGTGTAGCGAAGGTGCCCTTCCCCCACTCTGAAAGGGCCCCCAACGGGGTTGTGTGTGTGTGTGTGTGGTCCTTTTTGCAGAAACTGGCTTCCCTGAACAACGACCCAGCGGCGCTCGCTTCCACGAGTTACCTGCCTGCAGCGCCCAGCGCGGTGCCGTCCTCCTCTTACGTCCCGGGCTCTGACCCCCAGCCAGGTCAGTGACCGCCTCTGTCTTCCGCCTCTGGGTAGACGATTCCAGAGCACATTTCAGAGTGACAGTGTGTAACACACACACAGGGTGTATGAAGTGATTGCAGAGTTGGGCTTGGAGAACGTGCGAAGGCCCCGCTGTGCTTGAAGAGCGTTCAGAAAGTTCTGATGTAATGAAAATAAAATTTGAGGAAGAATCAGAACCTGGAGAAGGTAAACGAGGCAGACTCTTGAGTTACAATCTGGATCCAGGCTGAATATTGCCTTATTTCTCTGGGAAGGTGTCACCGTTTCGAAACGCTCTTACGTTCCTCGACTTAATTCCTTCCTCGTGCCTCTTTCTTTCTTGCACCCTTAGCATATAAGTCTGAATTCGTCTCAATGATTTTCTGTAGATTTGTTCCTAGTTCCCTGCAGCTGTTTGCAGCTTAGAATTCCGTGCTGAACCAAGTCCTGGCCCGTGACGGCACCCTGGTGGCCGTGGACTTTTTGTGCTGAACAAGAAGCGAATATAACCTTGCTCTACGAAGCTTGGTAGAAGGAGGAGGAGGAGGAGGAGGAGGAGGAGGAGAGTAGCAGGAGGAATGGGATACAACAGGTATGCCTTAATGAGCCCTTCTACTCTCACAGCCTGTTTGTCCTGACATCCAGCTGGCTCCATCTGGGACCCCCTGCAAGCTAAAGAAGAAGCTGCTTCAGCCACCACCACCACCACCACCACCACGACTGCCACTGCTCTCCCCGTGGCTCAGTTTAAGCAGCGGACGCCCATGTACAATAGCCACTTGAACCTAATTGCCCCCACGGTGGCAGCAGCGGCGGCGGCAGCGACGGCAGCACCGGCCCCCGAGTCTCCAGCGCCTCCTCCGGTCACCGCTCCAGCAGCGCAGGGACCGCCCGGCGTTCTTCAGGATGTCCCTGCCAAGAAGTGTCTCTCTCTCACAGTAAGCATCCAGACCCTTCCCCCCCTCCCCCCGGTCACAGGTGGGGATCAGGGCAGGTGGAGCAAGAAACGGGAAGGCACGGGTTACATCGCCAGGCTTGTCCACACATTGCACAGTGGGTGGGGGTCTCACGGTTTAGGTCTGACCGTAATACAAACACCGATGATTAATTTAGCCAGAGTGGCAGAATTTGTGGCCCAGCAGAGCTTAATAATTCCTGTTTTTTTCACGTATGGCAGCATTATTAAGCCACCCAGAGTCGCTCTGGACAGGCAGATTATTATTATTATTATTATTATTATTATTATTAATAATAATAATAATAATAATAATAATAATAATAATAATAATAATAATAATAATAATAATAATAAAGTTGGAAGGGACCTTGGAGGTCATCTAGTCCAACTCCCTGCTCAGGCAGGAAACCCTATACCATTTCAGACAAATGGCTGTCCAGTCCCTTCTTAAAAACTTCCAGGGTTGGAGCATTCACAGCTTCTGGAGGCAGGTTGTTCCACTGGTTAATTGTTCTGACTGTCAGGAAGTTTCTCCTTAGTTCTCGGTTGCTTCTCTCCTTGGTTAGTTTCCATCCGTTGCTTCTTGTCCTGCCTTCAGGCACTTTGGAGAATAGCTTGACTCCCTCTTCTTTGGGGCAGCCCCTGAGATATTGGAAGACTGCTATCATGTCCCCCCTCGTCCTTCTCTTCCTTAAACTAGACATACCCAATTCCAGCAAATAAAGCAAGGAAACAGATTAATAAATAATTGTATGTATTGTAGGTGGGTCCAGAGGTTTCTCTTCTTTAAAATTACGCCTATAAAGATGTGGACGGAGGGCGTGTCTGTCACGGAAGGTGGTTGTTTGCCACCCCCTTCAACCGATGGGTTTGTTGAGGAAAAGCACTGGGGAGCAGTTACTTTCCCCTAAGTCGTGGTTGTCCAACCTTTTGGCTTGCCCTGGCCCTATTGAGTGAAGAGGAATTGTCTCGGGCCGCATATAAAATATATTATGTATTTAATGCATATAAATAACAAACCTCGCTTAATTTTTGATACCTTTTATCTTGTGGGGCTGCATTACCAGCTGCCCAGGGCCACTGGAAAAGTATCAGAGTGTCCCCCCAGTTTACAGGAAAACAGGCAGGGCTGCCGGTGGGCGAAGGACGTTGAAGAGGGCAGCCTTCCTCTTTCTAAGAGACAAGTGAGGATTTGAGCAATGCGGAAGTCATTTCTCTACTGTTGTTTTCAACGGAACGTGTCCTTGGAACTCGTTGCAGAAGGAGCAGTTGTTTGCAGCCCACGAAATATTCCAGATGGCAAACAAAGTGACGAGGCCCGAGAAGTCTCTCATCCTTGGATTTATGGCAGGATCCAGAGGTGGGTATCCGACACTCCTCTCCAGAGGATGGCTGAGTGGACACCGGTGCAGGCTTTCACGGCCGACTGGACAAGTTTGGGCCACTTTTGGAGTGCCGGTTTCTGATTTTGTTGCGTTGATGCCGGGATCCGGTGGGTTCGGCTGAGTCCTGATGGGGTTCTTTTCCAAGCAAGTTTCTGATTTTCCCTGTGTGTGTGAGAGAGTGTGATTCGTGGTTGGTCCTGCTTTTGGGTTAAGGCCCTTGATGGGGGATGCAGAACGAGTGAGCTTTATTAAGCCTCAGACTTCTTCCTTGTTGACGTTGTTAGGAAGTTTGTGGATCTCAGTGGCAGGCATGCTTAGTGGGTGGATGTTGGGAGCACCCAAGGGAGCCCTCGAACTCAGCTCCATGATCATCGTGGCCCAGCTCAGTAGCTCCTCTTCTGCCACCGGGGACATTCTGGGCTCTCCTCGTCTGCGGTGCCTCTTGCGAACCTCCAAGTCCGCCAGTGGCGCCAGTCACCACCTGTCACTAAAGAGGGATATTCGGCCACTAAACTCTGACGCCCAAGACTGGCCAACTGCCAAGTAATTTGATTGATTGGGAATCAGGATCATCTGTAACTTAATAATAATAATAATAATAATGATGATGATGATTGATGATGATGATGATAAAGTTGGAAGGGACCTTGGAGGTCTTCTAGTCCAGCCCCCTGGTCAGGCAGGAAACCCTATACCATTTCGGACAAATGGCTGTCCAGTCTCTTCTTAGAAACTTCCAGTGTTGGAGCATTCACCACTTCTGGAGGCAGGTTGTTCCACTGGTTAATTGTTCTAACTGTCAGGAAGTTTCTCCTTAGTTCTAGGTTGCTTCTCTCCTTGATTAGTTTCCATCCGTTGCTTCTTGTCCTGCCTTCGGGTGCTTTGGAGAATAGCTTGACTCCCTCTTCTTTGGGGCAGCCCCTGAGATACTGGAACACGAACTTTTAGATGTAGATCCAGATAGGAAAAATGATAGTGGTTTTATAAACCAATTTATTACAGAGCATTTTGATCCTTTTTCAGACAAGGCCGTCATCCACTGAAACCCAAGCGGCCAGCGTGTCTCCTGGGTTTGTGCCAAACAAACTGCCAAACCAACTGAGAAGACGGTTTAGTTGCCAGACTTTTTCAGGCAAAGAATTGGCCCTTAGCCGTTAAGAAGGTTTTATTTGATTCTGCGTATGGCATCTACAGAGGCCATGCGATCACTAATGTACAAATTCAGTTCAAATAAAGCGGTCAAGGAGGTCACTGAGGAGAGATTCGCTTCAGGGCCCGTCCTCAGAGGCAGGCAGTCCCCCTGGGAAGGGAAGGAAAACGCACCATGCAGAGACCAAGGAGGAATGCAGCTCCCTTCCCAGTTTTTGTCCCGAGTGATAGTTCTGGTGCGACTCAATCCCTCGAACGCGCCCGGTTCTGAAATCCGTGATTTCTCCTCTCCAGAAAACCCCTGCCAAGAGCAGGGCGACGTCATCCAGATCAAGCTGAGCGAGCACACCGAGGTCTTGCCGAACCCCGACGGGACCGGGAGCACCACCATGCTGGTGGACACCATCTTCGAGATGAATTACGCAACCGGCGAGTGGACCAGGCTGACCAAGCACAAGCCGATGACAAACGCCTCTTAAAACAGTTCAGCCACGGGAAGACGTAGACCAAGTAGATCCTAGAATAAAGCCAGCTTATATACATTGTGCGTCAACTCGGACAGAGCAACATTCCTGTGTGTGACTTGTAACCAGCCCGTGTCACAGCTAAAAGTAGGAAGAGGAGACACAACGGCGAGGCGTGTCTCTCTCTCTCGTCCTCGGATGGTGGAAGGATGCGGTGATTCATCGCCTCCAGCGGTTTGGCAGAAAAAAGGGGTTTTATTTGCCTGCCTTGAGAAAAAGAGTAGAAAGGAGGCAGATTTCACAGCAGGGACCTCAGTTGACTTTCTCGGTTCTCTGTTAAAAATAGGCACAGTTTCTTTTTTTTCCCTTTTGCGGCTGACTGCAAGCAGCAGCGTTGGTCGCTTGGGGCGGCCCTCCTTGGGCTGATCGTCTGAGGCAGCGTGAAAAGCCTGTAGGATCTTCCTTCCCTCTCTCTTCTGCTCCTCAGGATTGCCCAAATAAGAAACCTTCACTTCCTCCAGAACATCCACCCCCCAGCTTGCACGTAGATGCATGGCTTCCCGTAAATGGGTTGCCTTTTAACATGGGTACATAAAAAGAGTGAGCCCCCCCCCCAAGCTTAATGATCTCAGGGGTGCCAAGGTGAGTAGTCTTCCCCAGGGTGCAGCGAGCAGCCTCTGAATTACTCTTAAAATGGGTATAAATTCCAAGAACTAACGTCGCTCGTTCCAAGACCTCAGAGGGTTGCCTTGCAGGATGGCACCAAACTGGTCCCCTTTTGAGCTTGCTGAAAAGGTGAATATCGGTGGATGTCCTAACACGGTGAAGCTTTTGGGGAACCTCACTGCCCTTGAAGCAGGCCAAAAGAGTAATTAGGCGCCCCTTCCCTGCCCTGTAGCCGTGTGGTCGAAGGAGGACCTGAGATGGTTTATCACGCAGGGCTGAGTTTCTGCATTCCTCTCTTCCTTGGTCCTCCGAGGGCTGCAGGGCCTGGCCATTTTTTCTCCTTTCTGGGCTCTTGGGGAATTTCTCTTGCAAGCCTTTGAAGTTGAGGGGAGAGGACAGCTCAGTAGCTTAATCATTTATGCAGAGGAGGAAGAGTTGAAGAATGAAGAGTTTCTTTCTGTTCGTTGAAATGGTTGGGAGATGTTAGGATGCTTCCTTTTCAGTTGAAGGTCCAGGGAAGCTGTTTGACCGAGCTGCAGAGGGGAGCCAAATGCCCTGAGCTCCTGTTCTGAGCACCTCTGGAGAACCTTAAGCGCGAAAGAGGGAAGATAGGCCACCTTTTAGGTCAGGGGTAGTCAACCTTGGCTCTTTTATGCCTCGTGGACTTCAACTCCCAGAATTCCTGAGCCAGCACAGCTGGCTCAGGAATTCTGGGAGTTGAAGTCCACGAGTCATAAAAGAGCCAAGGTTGACTACCCCTGTTTTAGGTTTTGTTTTAGCACAGCTGAATGGTGTGTTTGTTTCTAAATTATACCCAGTAGGCCTAACCAGAGTCAGAAGAGCACCACAAAAGGGCTGGTTTCAGAAGAGGTTTTTGTGCAGCGTCATTTGATTTAACGTTTCCGCCAGACCTGAACCTGGAAGCAGGATTTTAAAACCATAGGGCTAATTTTACTAAATTAGTCAAGTTTTATGCAGTATCAACCTGGCTTGCTCAGGTTATTTTAAGAGGCCACCTGGCTATATTCTTTTAACATTGGAAGCCTTCCCCCCTCCCCCCCGTCTTTAGCTGGCATGTAGCAGGACGTGTCCTGGCGTGTTCAAACATAAAGGCAACATTGACTGCATGCTTGAACATCGTGGCCGTCTGATTTGGAGGACGTGATATTTCATCTTTTATCCAGAAACGTGGTTTGAAGTTAGAATGCAGTTTTCTCTAGAATACCTCTGAGGACTTGGAGCAGTACGAACTAACAGGTGTTTCTGGTTCTGCTCTAGAGTATTTAGCCAGCAGGGGGTTGGGGTGGGTGCCAAAAAAAAAAGTCCAGCTGGTCAGAATAGGGCACGGCTTTTGAGTATAGAGTTGTGGCCACCACCTGGACTTTCTCACCCTCCCTCCCCTTCCCTCCCTCCGTTGGAAGCCGTGGCATCCATGCGGTCATCTGTGGTGGAATCCGCTCAGATGAATTCAGAACGGTGTGAACCTGGCATCATAACCTGAGAAGAGTTTTGCCTTGCCCACGCGGGAAGGCTGGCCCGGCACAGCCAGCGGCTTTTACTCGAGTTAGAAGCTTCTCCTTTCAGAGTCCGTGCGAGGAAGGGTGCCGTGAAGCTGCTGCTGGTGCAACCCAGATATATGTTTATGTTTATTGTATTTATATCCCGCCCTTCTCCTTACGGACTCAGGGCAGCTAACAGCCAGATAAAACAATTACAAAAGTACAGAATACTATAATTAAAACCCAATTAAAAGAAGATATAATATTAGGCCTATGTTAATTTAAAATTATATTAAAACCCAACTAAAAATTTCCCCTAGGCCAGTTCCCCTAGGCCAGGACCTCAAAAGAGATTCTTGGGAAATCACCATCCGATTTGGGCTGGCACAGTATGTTGAAACTGAGGGATGCCTCTGCCCTGCATTTTTAGGTTGAGGTCTGGCTGCCCAGAGAGAGCTGGCAGTAAACCCCGCAAAGACAGGCTGGAAAGGGGGAGAGGCAGCAGGCGGCCCAAGCAGCCAGCCAGCCAGCCTGACTGACTGACGGGTGCAGCTTGCCCAGAGCATCGAGGCTCTCCCTGTGGTCCTGCTTGGCTTAAAAGGAGCTCTTCTGATCCTGACAGAAAAAGGCAAGTGACCGGTACTATCCGCAGTTCTAGTCTGGGGGGGAAAAAAGAGATATTTTAAGAGTTTAATTTTAGCTGTAAGATTACTTGTAGTATCCAGCACCCATGAGCATCAGACAAGCTGAAGAGTTACTGTTGAAAAAAAAGCACGCAGCTTCCCTCCTGCCCTACCAGTTAGCAGAAGGGTGGCCCAGAAGCCCTGGGGCTTCCCTTGCCATGCCCCCCCCAACACCCCCCCCCGGCCACCGACGGAAGGGGAGAGAAAAGGCAAGGCTAGGAGATGAACCCTCGAGACCGTGGGATTCTGGTACCTTTTTAACAAGCAATGTTGTTTTGTAAAATGTTGCCTATCTAGTAGAGCAGGCCATATGTTTTCTATCTTATTTTGTTTTTTTGTACAGATGTAAATGCAAAACCTCATGTCCTTGAGTACGTATTTTCGGCATAATATCTGTAATAAAGTTCAGATTTTTCTAAGTACATTTTTTCTTCTTGCCCCAGTGGTGGTATTATTTGGCATCCGCTCGTCCTTGACGTGGCTCCCGGGCGCAGGCCCTAAGGACCTGCTAACTAAACGGCAAATGTTTTCAGACCCTACTCCACCGAGCAAGCTGAATGAATGGTAGCGCTTACTACCAGGTCACTGCTGCAATTCAACGGGCATAAAGTTTAAATATAGCATTGAGGTGAGGACGCTTCTGTCCCCCGATTCTATTTAAAGTCTTACATCTATTCAACCACTCTCCAAGTATTTTAGGAGGCGTGATGAGGTTGATGAAAGCTCATGTTTTTAAACAAAATTTGTAATCTGAAAAGGCAATCTGTAGTTTACTTACTGTGGCATAACGTGACTCTCCTACAATTTCTATCGGGAAATTTTTTTATCAACATCCACTCCACAGGTAAAACTGTATAATGCATTACTCCTGTTCACATCTTTGCCATACGAAGAATGCAGGAACAACCTTTTTTTAAAAAAAAAATCTTATATAAAGCTGGGATTCACTCAGCCCCCCATCAGCACAGCATCTCTTGAAAACAGAACAGAATGGGACTAAACTGGGCGTGAGGGGAGAAGCAGGCAGAAGAATTAGGTTAAAATAATGGCCTGGATCCAGTCAGGGCCCACGGAGAAAAAGACCTACGAAATTCCCGCAATGAATCCCCAAAGGAGAAGCAACTACTAGGAGCAGCTTGTGATGCTAGTGAGAGCACTAGTCCACCTGCCTCCTGATCACTAGTCTATTTGTGGTTGGGCTTCCAATCCCATTTTTAGCCAGAAGTTGCCAGAAACAAAAACACACAAAAAAAAAAACCGGGAAAGTCTGCTCAGAAAGGCCACCTCAAGAGTTGCTTTTGCTTCCAGCATCATTTTGACACTTATTTCAGTCTGCTTCTCAAAAAAAAAATCTCAAAGTAGGTTCGATTTTGAAATACTTTTATTATGCAAATACGATCTAAAAATTGGGCACAGATTTTAATATCCATTTAAAGGAGGACACTGGTAATGCGTTTTTTTTTCTTTCTTTTTGCTTATGGGAACTAAACAGTTGACCTGAGGCAGAGTTGACTGGACTCTTCTTCCAAAGCTTGCCACGGGTTCAAGAGGTGTGCTGCTTCCTTGTCTTCAGCGTCTTGATAGAATGTTGTTACAATTAAAACAATAAAATCAAAAGCCATGGTACGACATTCCCCCCCCTCCCCCACCCTCTTTAATGCAATCCTGTCGAGCGGATCTCCTCGAGCGGATCTCCTCATCACGTTGGGCTTCAAAAGCTAGTCGAGCTCTCTCTCTCTCTCTTTTTCTCCCTCTATTTAAACATTTCCGAGGGGTGATTACTATTTCAAAGGCTACGAGACCGTCCATATCCGCCGTCGCCGGCCGAAAATCAACACACCTCCGTTGAGGAAGCACCGGGGAAGGAAGAACTGTCCCATTCCTAACAGTTCAAGTATTCTCATTATTTATTTCTGGAGAGAAAACCTGGTTTGTCCTGAAATGTCTGAACTTGGCAGGCCAGAGTTCATGATCAGTGCAGATGCAGCGGGCGCCCAGCTGCGGGGTTGGCTCAGTCGGTTAAAAATCGTTCGCCCCCAAAGCCAGTTCTTGCGCAAGATGTGTAGTAAACGGGTGTCCTTCCCTGACCCTATTCACAACTTATTTACAAGACAACCTTGGCAGTGGGACTGGCGGGCGGGCGGGGGGAGGGGGGGGGAGTCTGTTCCTCTCAACATTATGTCCTCTTCCACTTGTTCCTTTGCCCTTTGCATTTGACCGAAATCAGTTTCCTGGGGGGCCGTTTGGCTTTCTTCTCCGTGACGTTCTCCCCGGGGTGGTCGGGGCAAAACCACTCTCCGCTCCGGTTACACTCCAGCAGGGCCTCCTCTTGGTGATCCTTGCAGAAGGAATTGGGGCAGAAGTGGCAGAAGGAAGCCGAGGGCTTGCCACAAACGTCGCAGTGGTGCCAAGGGCACTCCCACTTGCCTGCCGCGGGGAAAAAAAAGAAAAGAACAAAATATCAACTCAGAAAAATGTGCCAGCATTTTTTCATGTCTGGTGGACATGTAGAGAAGCACAGGTGTACTGGCTGATGGTCTGGGAATGGGTAACAGAAATGACTAGGCAAAGCATCCAGTGTAAACCTGAGACATTATTATTAGGAATATTAGGAAAAAACGCAAATAAAGGGGACACATATCTAATCATACACGTGATAACGGTGGCAAGGATTCTATTTGCTCAAAAGTGGAAAGCAAAGGAAGCACCGAGTGGGGAAGCACTAATAAAGAAAATTATGCATTGCGCAGAACTAGACAAGACAACTAAAAAACTAAAAAATCAGGAAGAAACAATTTTATTGAATCTGCAATAAATTCTATAAATGGAGGGAAAAAAGAATGGGGTCAACAGAAGAGATATAAGTAGAGGTAGATACTAGGAATGTACAGCTGTATATATATATATATATATAAATGTATAGTATGGACTGACAAGACGGAGATGTATGTCAAAGACGATGTACCGTGTTCAATGTTTTTAATCTCTTTTTTTTCTTTTGTATTCAATAAAAACTATTTTTTAAAAAAAGTGCCACGATGTCCACACATCCACTAAAATCCTTCCCTCCAGCCTGAATGAACCGGACAAAGGCAGCCACTGTGTTGAACAAGGCACGCGTTCTCTTATCTCCCTGACCGTTCTCAAAATAGTGGACAAGAACCGATTAAAAACAACTTGAAATGAAAAATCAGCATGTTGTTAAGCAAACACAACCGGAAGCGTTTAAAGCTAGACACACACATTCGGAGAGGGCCTCTTTCAGGGCTTTTCCTTCCTGCTGAATAAACTACGATTAGCTTAACAATGTACGGTTTAGCTTTGGAGCCTGGTTTCCTCTCCATGAGCCAGCTGCTTCATCATTTCCAAGGATGACTCCCTCTCCCTGGGACGGAGAAGACCTCAGGCAGGTGGACGTGGCCCTGCTGAGCTGAATGGCCGCTAGTCGCCGCCTCCTACCCACCCACCACCTCTCCTATGGAACTGGCTTACGGGAATACATACATGCACAGAAGAGCTTAAACCAGGGGTAGGCAACCTCGGCTCTTTTATGACTCATGGACTTCAACTCCCAGAATTCCTGAGTCAGCTATGCTGACTCAGGAATTCTGGGAGTTGAAGTCCATGAGTCATAAAAGAGCCGAGGTTGCCTACCCCTGGCTTAAAACAGTTCTGCCTGGTCAAATCGCTCAACAAAACTACACCAACCTTTCCCTTCTCACTCCTTTCCCTTGGACCAGCTCGGCTGGAGACGGTTAGCCCCGTTTCAAGCACCGGAGTCAACTCTTCGCCTGACCCCCCCCCACCCCCGAAGGGGGAGCCGCGGAGGAAAACAAACCCCTTCCAAACTTGAAATTTTTCGATTACGATCCTCGCGGGTCCAAAATCCTTGTGACGAAGCTGAGGGGCCTTTTTTTAACTCACCGAAAGGACGTTTTACCAGATCGAGGCAGGAGAGGTGATAGGCCTTGGTGCAAGACTTCCGGTCACACAGCACAAGCTGCCCTCCGTCTCCGCAGCGGAAACAGTAGTCCTCCGTTTTTTTCCTGGCTTCGTTTTTCGTTTTGCGTCTCCTGGCCCTTCTTTTGGTCTTCTTTCCTTTCTCTTCTGAGGCGTTGGAGGATGAATTCTTAACAACAACAAAAAAAATGTTCCCGTTTTGCAGATTAGTGCAGCCTTTAAGGAGTTGCCCCACTGTTTTTAGCCATTTCAAATTATAAAAACTCGTCGGGAATCCTCTTGCAAAATTTTTATAGTGTGGTCACTGACAATTGCCACGCAAGACGGAACTAAAGAGAGAAGCATTGTTGGCCAAAATGCCACCACCGTCCACTCTTACCTTCCTGGGGGAGAGACTGCTGTAATTTTACTGAATGCCCCTCCACTTAAGAAAACAGCTCTTGGTAATGCCAAAGGTGCTGTTTTCAAGAGGCAACTGGACTTTCTTTGAAGATGTTTCGCTTCTCATCTCAGAAGCTTCTTCAGTTCTGACTGGATGCTGGGAGAATGGCAGGATTTATACTCCTTGCAGACCGCTGGTCATTTGTACCCTTTTAGAGGGTCGCTGAGGCCACTTGGAGGTTTGTCTCTGTCCTCGGGGTCGCCTGAGTCATTGAGAAGTGGGAGCTGTGCTTCATGCAGGAATATCAATCCTTTCATTCCCCACCATCCAGTCAGAGCTGAAGAAGCTTCTTGGATGAGAAGCGAAACGTTTTCAAAGAAAAACAAGGAAGTCCAGTTGCCTCATGAAAAAAAAAAAGCACCTCTGGGACAACCAGGACCTTGGATGACAGAGAATCTCCACAGACCCAATTCTTGATATCTATCTATCATCTATCTATCTATCTATCTATCTATCTATCTATCTATCTATCTATCTATCTATCTATCTATCTATCTATCTATCTATCTATCATCTATCTATCTATCTATCTATCTATCTATCATCTATCTATCTATCTATCTATCTATCTATCTATCTATCTATCTATCTAATCTATCTATCTATCTATCTATCTATCTATCTATCTATCTATCTATCTATCTATCTATCTATCTATCTATCTATCATCTATCTATCTATCTATCTATCTATCTATCTATCTATCTAATCTATTAGAAAAAGCGACTAAGGCCTATTTCGGACCCAGAGGCGTCCTTAGAAATAATTGGACAACATGTGACCCTCCCTCCCCCTTTCTTGGGTCCTCTTTTCTTACGACATTTCCTCACGCGATTCCTCCACGGCTTCCACCATGACAGAGCTCCTAATATCCTGCCTTCACTGGAAAATTTGGGATGGGTTCAGAGAGGTATCTGGCTTGGAAGTCACCCATGTTGAACAGTACAGGTGGTCCTCGACTTACAACATTTAGTGACTGTTCAAAGTTACAACAGCACTGGAAAAAGTGACTTATGACTGTTTTTCACAGTTACGACCGTTACAGCCTCCTGATGGGCCACGTAATAAAAAAATTCAGACCCCTGGCAATTGGCTCATATTTATGATGGTTGCAGTGTCCCATGTGTGTGTGTGTGTGTGTGTGTGTGTGTCACGTGACCCTCATCAAAATCAAGGGGAAGGCAGAGTCACTTAACAACTGTGTTACCAACTTTAACAACCACAATGATTCCCTTAACTTAATAGGTGTGGCAAGAAACGTTCGTAAAATGGGGAAAAAATCACTTAACAAAGTTCTCACTTAACAGCAGAAATGTTGGGCTCAACTGTGGTCGTAAGCCAGGGACTACCTCTATCGCACCATCAAACATCAGGAGTTGACCACAGTAAATGTTTTATGACCTATTGCATTATGTCCTAAATTGTTTTATGTTGATTTATTTTTTTTAAAACATCACAAAATGTGTTTCAAAATTTGCCAAATTTCATTGGGAGTCACGGGTTCCAGATTCCGGACACATTCTGTGAGTTAGTCCATTTGAGGTACCTGGCTTCAAAAAGCCTTGCCTTAGGCTGCCCCGTTTTGCCCCCTAAAATTGGTCCCCCAGAAACCACTCGGCGAGCGTTGTAGTAGCCCGTGGAGAGAGATTCCTCTTCCTGGCTCACGTCATATGCCGTCGGCCAGACAGTGCCGGCTGGCGACCCCAAGGGGGAGGGCCTTCTCTGTGGGAGCTCCCACCCTCTGGAATGAACTACCCCCAGAGATCAGGGTGATCCCTGATCTCCCTTCCTTCCGCCGCGCCCTTAAGACATGGTTATTCCAGCTTGCGGGACTGGCCTAGGGGAAAATTTTTAATGGGGGTTTTAAAGTAATTTTTAACTACTAGACCAATTATTAATATTTGTTTTTAATTATGTTTTTAATTTGTAGTTTTTTGTGATTAGTATTTTATCTGGTTGTTAGCCGCCCTGAGTCCGCAAGGAGAAGGGCGGGATATAAATTAAATTAATAAATAAATAAATAATAAATATACCTTCGGTCTGTCCCCAAGGAAGCCGCTGCAGTTGGGAGCACCACACTTGCACGCCGTCTTCTCATTGCCCAGGCAATCAAGGTTGTAGTTGAAGGTTAATTCTGTTCCTGAGGGGGAAACCAGAGGAAAGACTTATTGATTTTATTAATTTTTATTGGGTTAGGAATAAGGTGGGATCGGGGTTGGGATTTAGGTTAGGGTTAGGATTAAGGTTGGGGTTTTTCCAAGTAACATTCTCAATATTTAGCAAACAGCATAACGTTTGGGTTTATGTATTTAACAAACAATAATAGAAAATAATTATCATAAACAATGTTAATCACTCAATCTTGCTAATATATATTCAAAATTACGTATCACATTTCTTTCTCTCTAATTCTTCTTTCTAGCCATTGATAGAAATTATCCCACGTTCTAAAGTAGACTGAGTCTTCTTTCTCTTTTCTCTTTAAAGTCAATCTATCCATTTCTGCACACTCTAAAATTTTCTTAATTAATTCTTCTTCAGTTGGTAAGTTTTCATTTTTCCAATGTTGGGCAAATACAATTCTTGCTGCCGTTAGTACGTGTGGTATTAAATATCTGCAATCTTTCTCATAATTAGCTCCTATTATTCCTAACAATAATAATTCTGGTTTAAAGTCTTATTTGTTTTTTTAGTCATTTTCTCCAACCATAAAAGAGGAAAGGCTTATTGTAACCGTCATTAAAACAGGAACAAGATCAGCTTGGGAAAAGCCCCCCCCCCAGTTTCTGCAGCTTTGTCAAAACAAAATATTTTTTTCCTCTTTTGTTTGTGTTTGTTCTGCTGCATTAAGAGGGCAGGTTAATAAGCCCACGCTTGAAGCTTGATGTTTCAGCTACATCAATGTGAGAAGCTTTCTGAACAGGCTTTTAAGGCTTGATTTCTTTTTAAGAAAAAAAAACAACCTTGCACAGTAGGAGGAGAGCAGCTCGTACCTGTGGGAATGTCACACACCGCAAACAAGCCCACTCGGGTGTCGCCATGCACCGTCCACTTCAGGGTCTCGCAGTTCGGCTGGCAGCTGTGATTCATAAAGCGAGAATAGTTGCCTTTCGGCCCGGCGTCAATTATGCGGTCCTGGAAATCAAAGGAATCAGGCAAAAATCTGAGGCACAGCTGTACCGCTTCAACGGAAACGGAGCCCTGCCCCCCCCCACAGCTGGTATATTTAGTTCTTCCTCGACAAACTTAAATCTGTAATCTGTGCAAATTTTATCACACTTTTAAGAGAATTTCAGAGCTCTACATCTGGATTCGATTAATTTTGCCTTACAGTAATGTCGCGTCGCCTAGCTAAATTAAGATACCTGGAAAACGTACAAAATTGTGAAAGAAATAGAATTGTTCCTCAGTTGGGCTTGGGTCGGGAAGATGCGGTTTCTTTCTTTGCTCGTCTTGAGATGATTAGACAGAGAAAAAAATGTTTGGGATCTTCAGTGGACAATGCGAAGAAATGGGGTTTCTTCTGTTTTTTTTTTTAAAAAAACAAACCTTGATATCCCTTTTCTTGAAAAGCAGGGAGGATAGAGATACTGCCATTAAGTATTTCCAGTCCTGGGAACACAAAAGGGTAAGCAAACAAGCAAAACTCTTTGTGTAGAGCAGGGGTCTTCCAACTTGGCCCTTTGATGACTTGTGGACTTCAACTTCCAGAATTCCTCAGCCAGGCACGCGTGCCTGGCTGAGGAATTCTGGGAGTTGAAGTCCACAAGTCATCAAAGGGCCAAGTTGGAAGACCCCTGGTGTAGAGGTTGAGATTCTCCTCGGTTCCTAGACCAGTCAGAAATTATTTTCTCCTAGTTCCAAAGTAGATGAAGAAGTCGAAGCTTCAGCTTTGTTGGACAAAAGCATTTGTAGATGAAAGATACAGAACTGTCATATAATGCAAGCTTCTCTTCTTCCATTCAGCTTTTATTATTGAACTAGCTGTTGCTGTGGCTCAGTCTGGTAAAAGCATGTGTTGCTTTTACGTCCAACAGATGGCGCTGTTTTTCAAAAAAAGCATGTCTTTACCTGTCACAGGTGTGACGTCTATATAATATAGGTATATAAAAACACGTGCGTATTCGAATGCAACCTTGTGTCAAAATGTCAAAGCAATCGGTGAAGAACTTTCGGAGATTTAAGATTTTGAACAAACGAACATTTACATTTTTATGTATATAGATTATGTATATACATTTTTATGTATATAGATTATTAAGACATGGCTCTTCCAACAAGCGGGATTGGCCTAGGGGAATTTTTAGTGGGGTTTTAAGAATAATTTTAAATTGACACAGGCCTAATCAAATATTTCATTTTAATTAGGTTTTAAAGTGGGTATTTTTATCTCTGTATCTGTTTTACCAGGCTGTCAGCCGCCCTGAGTCCGTAAGGAGAAGGGCGGGATAAAAATCCAAACAAATAAATAAAAATAAATAAAATTACTATATTCAGTTCGGGGCGTAATCCAATACACGCCTACATAAAATTGAATGCCATTTACACACAATAGGATTTTCACCAAGATACGTGGGTACAGGATTGCAGTTTTAATCATAACTCAAAATTGGGTGTGAAAGAAATATTAGCACTTCCCGTCGCCCTAATTTCTACAGAGACGTTTTAAACTCCTTCTTAAGCCAAAGCGGTGTTGATCGGTAGGCTTATTGATGTTGCTTTTGTGCTAGTTTTTTTCCCCCACTGGGAGAATTGAGAGTCTTGCTATTGCTGAATAAAAAGCCAGTTTATAAATACCGCATTTACAGGTACCAGGGTTAAGATGAAGGTCAAGCTAAGCCATATAAAAGAACCCTACCTTATCAATGGTGAGCATGTAAAAGTGCGTGATGTCGTTTTCGTGAGCGTATTTGATCCTCGCCATGCATTCCCCTTCGTCAATCACTTCGCCTACATATTCGTTCACAAACTCGCCCTGAGGGAGGGGAAAGCGCAGCTGCTCAACCAGCCAAGAGAAGAAAACAGGGGAGGAGAGAAGAAGGGAGGGGGGCCTTCGCACAACCGTCAGACCTGGGTGTAAGAATCAAGTCTGGCCCCAAAGGCTGCCTCTGTTGGCCTCTGTCCAATTTCCTTTTTCCTTGGGCTGATACGATCCAGGTAAGCCCAACTTTTCTGTGGTTCACTGAAACATTCCTTAAGGGTGAGTTTTGTCCCACTTTATGACCGGTCTTGTCCACGGTTGTTAAGTGAATCAGTTAAGTTGATAACCAAATGGTTAGGTGAATCAGTTCTCCCCATGGACTCTGCTGGTCAGAAGGTCACAGAAGGGGATCATCACGTGACTCCGGGACGCTCCGCGACCGTCATAACTCTGAGTCAGCTGCGAAGCGTCTCAGTGCTGATCACGTGACCCACGGGGGATGCTGCAACGGTCCCGAAGGGTGAGAAACGGTCACAAGTCACTTTTTACAGTGCCATTGTAACGTCAAATGGTCACTAAATGAATTGCTGTAAAAGTCGAGGACTGCCCGCGTGGACATTTTGAACCACAGGGGGAAAGAAAGGTGGGATGTAAAGCAAAGGGAGAGACTATTATTATTATTATTATCATCATCATCATCATCATCATCATGCTGAAAGGCCCCTTGGGAGTCCCCCCCCAACAAGGAGCCGCCCCCCCGGCTTCACTTCCTCCATCCAGTGCTGCTGCCACAAACACACACACACACACCCCGCTGGTCAGCAGCCCCACCTTCTTAATGTCCCTCTTGGCGACCAGGCCCCAGCCCTTGCCCTCCGTCCGGATGATCTTGGTCTCCGGGTACTGGCGCTTGCTGAAGCACTGGTTCTGGCAGCGCCCTCCGGCCGGGCAGACCTGCGAGTGGCACTCGTACATCAGCATCCGGTTCAGGCACTCGGAGTCCAGGCCGCAGGGGCTCTCGTCCGAAGGCTTGCAGTTGCACTTGGGGATCTCCGAGATGTCCGCCGTGTAGATCTGGACCTTCCCGAAGGGCTTGTTGACCTGCACACCAAAGAGCCAGAGCGGGCGCTGACTGGGCTCACCCCCCAAAAGGCCCACAAGGTCCCAACCCAAACGCACTGACCCACATTCGTCCTTCACTCTCGTGTGTGTTTTGTGCATCCCTTGTGCTCTAACCCCCCCCCCCGGCTTTCATGGGACCTCGAAGGCATTGGTGGCTCCTCCCGTTGCTCAGAGGCGCTGAGGGTCCTTCTTGGGCAGGCCGCCATGGAGGCTGCAGGGCTGGGGGGCTTCAGGTTCTGCCAGCCTTACCTGCTTCCACACGGGCCTCTCTCCAGCCAACAGGAGGGCGAGACCCTGCTAATCCTAACCCAGCCAGCCTCCTCCTCCAAGGGGAAAGAGAACGACTAACTGGGTTAGGATAGTCTGAGGGGCAAAAGAAGCCAGGAGACCCCTAGATATTCTGGGTAGTGGTGGGAGAAAAGACAGGCCAGACCCCAGCCTTAGCATTCTTTGCTGTATGGAAGGGTGAGTTTGAGAACTAAAGAAAGCACACCTCTTCTCTGAGTTTTGTTTTTTTGTAATTAGACATATACAGAAATGCATAAAAATATTACCAATTCCACCTAACAAAACACTCAATCCAGAAGATTCATTGAATGCTTTTTGGATGTGAAGATGACTAACTCCTACTTTATGGATGAACATTCTGAAAAAAACACTATTCTGCCACAAATATTTCCCTTTAAGTAACTGATAAAGAGATATTTATTTTAAATTATAGTTGCTCAGTTCTGTTTCACATAGGTTTAATACCTCTATACTGTAAATCCAAA